AGGCTTGTGACGCCGGGCGTTTCTGATCCGCCGGTGCCTTCCGTTTAACTGCTGCCTCGAGCTCGAGTGCTGCCTCAGCTGGAGCAAATGATATATATTTCTGTAATTTCCCCCATAGCCTTCCTAGAAGAGCCACAGCGATGTTGGGAAATTGTGGTTACCGCAAAAAGAAAGTGTTAGAGAGCGGGGAAAAGTGTTTCCTCCGCTGGCAGATAAAGAGGATATTCACTGCCCGGCCTTGGAGCTGCCTCCTGCTTGGGGATGCTGTGATAGGGGTGAGCAGGAAGATGTGATGCCGTGGTGGGTGGCGTGAGTGCAGCTGTGGGTGGAGGATGCCTCCGTCTCGGAGGTGGAGATGTCTCCATCATATCTCTGTGGTTCCCAGGGGGGGCAGTCCTGCTCTGGGGGGAGTTGGTTTTCCCTGGGGACTTGCTTGCCTGCCACATGTGTCCTTGCTGAGCTTCGAAGCTGGCCACAGCTCCTGGGTGTTGGTAGGATCAGGGACATCCATGTGTTTCCACCTTCCCCATGCCTCGGATTTGAGGCAACAGGGTGGATGGAGGACGTTAGTGCCGTTGCGGGGCTCCCAGGAGCCACAGGCTGGAGGTGTGAGCGTGGGATGCTCTCTGCCTCCCCCAGCTCTGCTTTGCCTGCAAGTCCCCATCACCCTCAAAGCCCAGCTCATTTCAAAACGGTTTTACGAGCAGCAGGCAGATGGATCACAGCCACCCTGCACCAGGAGCTGTCAGAACCCCATGGCCCTAACGTGCCGTCCCCAGCAGCACAGCCCCGAGGTCCCGGCTCAGATCCTGCATGGTTCAAAACCTCATCCGAGGGCGCGGGAGTAACCCCGGCCCTGGGGCAGTCGATGCTCCCTGGCGCGGAAGTGCAGCCCCGGGATTTTTGACAGGGCAGCGTGAGCCTGGGACAGCCCATCTCCATCCCTGGGGGCTGGTGCTCGCCAGGGGGGTCGCAGCCAAACCCGGGCCCAGAGCTCGGAGCATCCCTTGTGGGGAGCGCTGCCAAGCTCGCATGGGAAACATGCGGGGTCGCATCCCAGGGGCTCGGCCTCCCCCGCCAGCTGGGACATGTCACCGGCCCCGGCAGGAGCTGAGGATGTTAACTCCGGCTTGCCGGGGCTCTGGTAGCCCAGAGAAGGCAAAGCTTTCGTGCCGGAGCTATGAGTTGCTCTTCACTGTGTTCGAGTGCCCTGGAGGATGCAGGGATGCCGGGGGGGGTGCAGGAGGGGTCTCCCGTGCCCAGGAGGATGCAGGGGTGCCCAGGAGAGCCCTTTCCCCGTGCAGGAATTGAAGCTTTCCCCAGCAAGCAAACCCCGTGTGGGGTCAGCATTAGTGGTACGCGCCGCGGAGGCAGAGCTGGCAGCCAGGAGCGCTTGCCCGGTGCCAGCAGCCTGTGTTTGGTGCACGTTGCCGTGACTGGTTGGCATGGCCAGCAACCGCGGGAGGTGGAGCAGGACACTGACAACATAGCAACTGCGTCCAACCCAACGGCAGCGCCCTGCCAAATTGCCCATTATCCCGAGGCTGAAACAGGGTCATTAATTATTTTAATGCACGTGGCATTTTTTTTCTTTGCCCTCTGGTTTTAATGTCACGCTCGCGGTGAAGTCATACATGTGAACTCTTGCACTATCTTGTGAGTCAAGGAGATGGGGCTTTCGTGGAAAGCACCCCCAGTGAGATGCAGGAGCTGTACCCAGCGTTGCTGTTGGGTCGCCAGCCTGCCCGAAGGTGGGCAAGGCAGGGTTTTATCTAAAATCCAACAATAGGGTTTTATCCCGGGTCCTCAGCTCCCCAGGTGGTTACACAGCGCCGCTGTGCAGATTTGGAAAGGAGCATCTGTTCCTCGGAGGTGGGGTGAGCTAGGAGCGGGGGGGCTACAAACACTTTCGGAACAGAACCAGATGCACTGGGGTGACAGGGGGGCTGGCAAGGCCAGGCAGGCACTGCCCTCCCTCTGCCTCTACTCACACCTTGAGGGCAAATTCCCCTGCCCCATCCGGAGCTCACCCAGGAGACCTGCCTGGGTGCTGTGGGGTGCTGCTGGGTCCCAGGTGGCTCAGGGGCTTTGTGGGTGCCGTGCCTGGAGCACCTCTGGGTGCTGTGCCCGCTGGCTGGGGTGCACCGTGGGTGCTGTACGTGGACTTTTGGGGTAGATGCCCTTGTCCCAGCCTAGCCTCAGGCTGTGCTTTTCCCCGTCCCGCTGGAAGATACCACGTGGCTGCAGGCTGAGCCAGAGGCTGCGTCAGCCGGGGGACATCCCTGTGGGATTCGCCTTGGTTTGGGGTGTCCCTGGCCTGGCCGGGTGCCTTGGCAGTTCCCGCCGACCCAGTCCCCAGGGGAGAAGGTGATTCATCTGCCCAGACGAAGGCACCAGCCCTGGGAGGAGACTGATCCTGCCCAGGTCACACCCCGGCTGACTAAGGAGAGCCCCAGGGAGTGGATCAGCCTCCTGCCATGGCTCCCGCCCAAGGGATTGCCAAGGAGCCTGGCGGCGGTGGGGCCGCCCTCGCCCTGCCTTTTCCCAGCCTGGGGCTCCACATTTCTCCCTCAATCTGCCACCGGGCTGGGGCAGAGGGTGTCAGGGCACCTCCCTGCGGGGCCAGCGCTCAAGGACAGGGTGGGACCTGCAACCCCGCTCTGGAATGTGGCTGGCTGGTGGGTTCGGTGCGGGCGGGAGGGTGACCCAGGGATGCTGCATCTGGGAGCCGGGAGGGCCGTGGTGGGCGCAGGGGCTCAGCCAGGCTGTCTGCATCCCCAGCTGGAGGACTGCACGCTGCAGGTCTCGCCCTCCGGACACTACCTGGACCTCGACTTGTCCCTCCTGGAGCAGAAGGATGATCTGGAGGGTTTCTACGAGGAAGTCAGGTGAGGCATGCGGGGTGCCCGAGCCCGCCAGGGATGGGACGTGGGGACCCCACGTGCGTGTGAGCGCTGGGGACCACGGTGGTCCCGCTGCAGGTGCTTACGTGGTGTTTCCCCCCACCCTAGGAAGGGGAGACGGCCGACCCTGATCCTGCGCACGCAGCTCTCCGTCCGAGTCCACGCCATCATCGGTGAGTCCAGGGATGCTCCTTCCTCCGGGCTGGTGTGGGTCCGGCAGCTCAGTCCCCCCAGACGGTGGGGTATTGGTCTCCGCGGTGAGTTTTGGCCAGACTTTTTGTGATGGAGAGAGGGAGCGATACAGCCCAGGGCTGCTCCCGCCCCATAACCCCCCCCCGCCCCCAGAAGCGCAGGAGACACGGTCCCCATGAGGCTCGTGGGTTAATCCCCTCCATCCTCAGAGACTGGGACTTCTGCCTCTTCAGCTGGGAGCCCACCGTCCGCTGCAGATACTCTGGGTCATTCAGGCGAGCTCTAAATATAGCTTTGCAGGATACAAGCAAATAGCTCGAGTGCAGCAGAAAGCGCTGCCGCGGCTTTGGGCAGCCCCTTCGGAGGTCCTGCAAAATATTTGGGAGTCTCGAGCCTTTTTTCCCCTCAGCAGGGGAGAAAACAAGCGCTGAGCAGAGCAATGCCAGCTGGGCATCGGCCTCCTGAGCGGCGCGGGAAGGGGCACAGCACGGAGCCCTCTCCCTGCAGGAAGGTCGGGGTCGGGGTCGTGCTCTTTGCCAGCGGTTCCCAGGCTCCGGCTGAGCCCCGGGCTGTTCTGCTTTCCCTCTCGGCTGTTCTGCTTTTCCTCTCGGCTGGTCTGACAAACCCATAAAGGAGGCGGGGGG